GGGGTTAGCCGACTGCGAAGGTCGTTCATTGTTGGGGCTTGGTGTGCTGCATGCGTGCTTTTCAAACCGTGCTTGGTGTGCTGCATGCGTGCTTTTCAACAAATAACTTAACGCAGCCGAGCGTCAAGACGAGGCTGTGAATGCACGACGCAAAATTACTGTAGGAGAAATTTGGGTCGTTGGGTATGAAATTGAAATGTATCTCGAATCGGGTGCGGCGCGACGGTGAAGTGCGGACGATGTTTGTACGTGGCAGCGCGGTGTGCTGTGTGGACTGGGTAAAATTTATTCGCTAAAAATTGCCCTTACACTGTACACTAGCCCACCGATGAAGAGAAGTAAAACACACCTTGTGCCAGCCGGGAATCGAACCCGGGTCTGCACCGAGCTAAATGGCAGGGTGCTATTCTACCTCTTTATTGACACTATAGTAAATGTACAATGGATACAAGGCAAATCCAGAGACGTAGTGTATGGAGAGACATGCAGGCTAATCCTATTGTGAGGCCTACAAATAGGCCTCTGTGATGTCTCAATGGTCCTCTCCCAAGTAGGCAAAGTCAGCTGCAGAAAGAGAAGTCACCTCGGGTGGTGCGTGGTTGACGCCCTCGGTAAAACGAATTTGTGCACGACGACAAACAGTGCGAGCCTGCTCACGTTGATGGACCAGAGAAATCCGTTTGTAGAAGTTGGTCTCAAACAGCTGGGGAAGAGAATCTGTGGCACCACTCAAGTCGCGGAGTTGTGACGCCCCTTTGCGGCTGCATTGGCGAAGGAAGTTGTTGAACGAAGAGCCGAAGCAACCAAAGGTTTCGATGACAAGGGGAAACAGTTTGATGTCTGGACGGTCACGAAGTGCTGCAGCATAGTGGGTGGTCTTCTCACTTTCACGAGTGGCTGCTGCTGAACCAATCACCGTAGCTGCGTTGGAGTGCGGAAACCCCTTTTGTGGATCAGCAACAGAAACATCCAAGGCCCAGGTGGTACCAGAGCTAATATCGCGGCAAGTGATGTCTGTGCGGCGGCCAGGCAGGAGATGCTGGTCTTCCATCTGTGCAGAGAACCCAAGCTCCAAGGCAATGCGATGAACTTCTCGTTTGATTGCGTCGTGCACCTTAGTAGGCTCGTTGTTGCTAGGGCAGCGAAGGACATGAGAATGGATGGAAGGATCGGTGAACGGGGAGTTGCAGGTGCAGGTGAGTGAAGATGAAAGGTGAGGAAGAGGAAGGCCTAAGCGGATAGCTGCTGCAATGCGCCATTCAGTCTCTGAAAGCTGCATGTGCGGGGAGGATGGAGCCACAGTGAGCCAGTCACCTGCATGCGGGCCCTGCAAAGAGGTTAGACGAGCAAGGCGAAGCGGGGACGTTACTGTGGCTCGAACCTTCTCCAGCAAATCGGCTTCGAGGTGTTGGGAGAGATGAGTAAAGAGTTTAGGAGGGTAGCCCGATTGAAGCACAAGCCATGATGGGAAGCGATCACGAATGTCTTGGGGAAGCATGGTCATGGTGGATGAGATTGAAGGGTCGAGGAGGTTAATGGAGTCCGTGGTGACGTAAGGGCGGAAAAGAGGAGCACCATCAGTGATGAAGTGGGTGGATAAGGTCGAAACTGTCTGCGCCCAGCTACAAAGGTAACTGAGGGGGGCGATGGATGCAGAGCTGCGAATGCCGAAGCCACCTAAGCGGATAGGGAGCGAGGCTTGGAGGCGGGCCGATGTGGACTGTTCAGAGGTGGGATTCCAGTACTCAGAGCCCAGGAGCTGAGAGAAGTGGCTGAAAATGGTGCAGTCCCATGAAGAAAGTAGCTCTTGGATTTCGGGAAAAGGTGCGACAGTTCGGAGGAGGAAAGAAGGTCGGGCAGTGATGCATAAGGAAAGGATCCGTGAGGCAATCTGTGGGTCCTGCAGTTGATCCAGTAAGGGGAGGGAGGAAGTGAAAGAATCGAGTTTGTCACGAACTGTAGAGATGATGTAACCGTCGGAGCCGGTAGGAACGCCAGCGACAGTGAGACCGTTTGCAGCGATGGAAATACCCGGGGGCGGAATGCAGTGTTCGGGCAGGTCCATAGGGGCCCATAGAGAGCACTTAGAGGGTTGGACTGTAAGGCCGAGAGAGAGAAGGCGGGAGGTAAGGTCAGTGTATGCGGCAAAGACGTCTGAGGGAGGGCCGACCAAGTAGGTATCGTCTGCGTATGAGGTAATGAAAATTGAGGGAGACTGCTGCTGGGTTGGTTGGATGGCTAGCTGCTGTGTTAGGGCATAAAGGAAAGGGCCACAAGGGTCGCCTTGACGAACACCAGAAGCTGATTGGAATGTGTGGAGAAGGGGGCCGCTGCGGTAGTGGAGAGGTGAAGGGGTGGAGTAGAATAGGCGGAAGAAGGGAATGAGACTAGAGAATGGGGAGCGCCTTAATGCCTCAAACATGGAAACCCGGTTGAACGAGTTGAACGCGTTTGCAACGTCCAGCTGAAGCACCACCCAGTCTGGATGAAGGGAGAAGGCGGAGCACACTGCGTGCGACATAATCTCGATCCCGGCCGGAACTGCTAGGCCAAATTGAAGGTGAGGAAGGAATGTCTCTCGCATCTGCTGCTTAAAAAGGAGAGTGATGCAGCGTGAAAGGAGGCGTGGTAGCACTTCCCCAATGGCGATGGGACGTACACCACCATGCGGTTTCTGCAGGGCCACGAGGTTCGAAGCGGTGTAGAAAGGCCTGACTGCGGGCGGAAGGTCACCCTGCAGCCAGTTCTGGAATACGTGGAGGAGAGAAGGGAGATGCTGCTGGTGAGAAAGAAACGTGTCCCTGAGGTGCTCAATGAACCACCCAGAAGGTCCAGCAGCTGTGCCACGGGGGGCGGACTGTAGAGCGGCATGGAGAACAGGGACGGTAAGCTGTGGTGCGGCTGCAGGAGTGAAGGTGTGTACCCAGTCAGGAATCTCTGCTGCAGCAGGTGGGTGCTTGGAGCTGAGGGCAACAACTGTTTCTGATGATGGAGGAGCTAGCTCGCCAGCTTCCAGTGCTGCCAGTGACCGCGACCAATCCCCGCATTTTGCAAACCGCTTCGCACGGTTGAGACGAGCCTGCTGCGCTGTAGAACGTGCTGAAGCCATGTGCAGAGGTCTAGCGGCTGGAGTGGCTGCAGCTACGGCTTCGCTGAAAAGAGAGTGCCAGTCACCAGTGATGAAGCGGCGCGCTAAGGCAGCACATGAAGAGGTAAGGGGCTGTGTGGGAGCAGCGGCAGAAGGTAGGCGCAGTAGGAGACGCGGAAATGCCAAGAGAATGAGGTGTGCAGCGACGTTAGAAGGATGTTGTGCAAGGCGGCGCAGTGGAATGAGAAGTGCATCGAGAATGAGGAGTCGGATGCGGGAGGGGATTCGGCGGAGAATAGGGCCAGGTGAGACTGCCGGGCTGAAGAAGGAAGGCCAATCCCAGGAAGGAACGGCCTCCCAAGTGGCTTGAGGAATTGCAGGTCGATCTGCGGCTGCAGGCGCCGAGGTTGGGGCTGATGAGCGGGGAGGAGGAGGGCGAGCAGCTTGCTGACGTGTGGCGGTGTTGCGAGAGCAGGCTGGAAGGTGACGGGCCAACGAACCTGAGTTGGCAAAGGTGCGTCGACATGTGGGGCAAGAATTAGGAGGTAGTGGGTTATCGGAGGTTGATGAGGGCGGGCAGGGTTGCGGGCATGGCTGCGTAGAGTGAGGGGTAGGGGAAGGAGGAGGGGGATCTCGAGAAGGTGAAGCAACAGTTTCATAGTGTGATAGTGGGTGCGTGTTGTCGGCAGGGGCTGTGGGATTAGGAGCATCTGCTGTAGTCGTCGGTGGAGGTGTTGAGGTAGATGAAGGATGGGCACGGGAAGTCGAGAGCTGAGGGTGAGAGGTTTGAGGCCGTGATGGAGACGGAGAATCAGGAAGGGTGGCTTTAAGGACCTGCTGGAGAATCTCCTTTTGTTTGTCCGAGACAATTTTTGGCGCTGTTGTTGGCTGAGGTTGCTGGGAGGGAGCAGAAGATGATTGAGGCTTAGGAGTAGGGGGTGGTGCAAGGGCTGATGAGGAGGTCGAAAGAATCGCGAAGGCTGGAGTTTGTCGCGAACGGGCAGGCGGACGAGGAGAAGTGGGTTCAGAGTCTTGGGCACCACGGCCCCTTTTGCGGCCTGTCATTCTGTAAGGTATTGGGCTGGTGGCATGCAAAATGATGTTGGAGGTAAAGGAAGCATAAGAAATGAGGTGGAAAGTGTAGTCTTTGTTTCAAGGAAGAAGTTGGTGTAGCGAGGAAGGTCACAAAAAGTGGTTGGGGAGAAGCACAAGCACGGATGTGAGGTTGGCAAAGTGGCGGGAATTTGGGTTGATGGGGGGAGGCGAAAATGCACGTCGGGGGAAGGGGGTTCGCAAATCTGTTGTTCGTGTAGCAGGAGGTAGAAACTGATGACGACACCGTGCTGTCCACTGCTGCTCAACACAAAGCTCAAGCCGCGCCGTTGCAAGGAAGATTCCACTCTGCGCCGTGCGCTAATTGCCTGCCAGATAAGCACTAGTTTCGTATCAACGTGCGCCAACACCGACACGGTAGATCCACGATTGTAGTTTCGATCGCCTCTCGCGTCAAGGGTGTCGCGGATTGCTAGCAAGTCGTGGCTCAAATGTACGAGTATAAGAGAAGATGCAAGGTTGCTGATTTCGCCCTTTAGCGGAGAGTAGTGAGCTTAGCAGCTTTACTAGAGCGAGCAGCTTAGCGAACTACTACGAGGAGCGTACTAGCGCTTTTTATAGGAGCTGCAGCGAGCTTGAGTGACAACTGGCACGTGTCAGACATGCACCGCAGGCAATTAGATTTAAATAATTGTTTTTTAGCAAGCATTTCCTGTTCTCATGCATGGATCTGCATGCGTCTCATTCGTCATCTGTGTAATTCGTTTGCCATGGCTCCACTTACCTCGAGATATCCGATTTTAGAGGCTGGGAAACCACATTCTTCTACGAACTTCCCAATGATGGACCTCGAAAGCACATGATCTCGTCGCGCAATAGGTACGTCGTCTTGCTGCTGGTGCTCACCTGCGGGACTGACCATTCATTCTGCGGCTAAGGTTGTCCTTTGATAGCTCGTGACTCTCCCAGAGAGAGTGTTCGGCATTTCAATTTTAATCCCGAAAGGATGTCGATTTGCTGTTTCGTGCCAATTTTTCTTTGGAGCGTGTTCCTTGTTCAGAATCCAGTGTTCGCTGCGGATGTCACCCAATATCAAATTAATGGCGGCGATGAGATTCACGAGGTCCAACCCCCGGAAACCCGTCACGGTCTTCTCATCTTCAAAGATGACGTCTCTGGAATTAGTGGAACGAGCCGCTCAGATGCTGAGACCAAGTTACGCAATCAAGCTGGCGTGTTCAGGTATAGAGGCGGATTGAACATAATAGCGACTCATGTGCAAGAGGCCGAGCCAAAGTGCCTTAGAAGCACGGCTCAGTACCTGTCGAGGACTGAAGGCTGGCACCCGTGTGCTTACGACAGCACTTCTGGCTACCGCGCTGTCGGTGCTGGGTACAACTTGGATCAGGATCCAGCTGTCGTCCTGTCCGATTTCAACCAGATTCGGGCTGATAGTCATGGGGTGAGTCTTGGAAAACCGTCAGTCTTGCCATGCATTCCTGGACATCTACGCTGTAGTCTTCATGATCGTTTGCTTAGACTTTCTAAGCGTCTATGTCTGATGTTTTTGGCAGGTTTATTCTGGTTCGGAGTGCCTGTCAGGCCCTCAGATTAGCCGACTGCTGGAGATCAGTGTGAGGAGGCTGCTAGCAACCAAATTGACATCAGATTTTGCCATTGACACCAGCAGATTCTGCTGTGACGTCCAGAAGGGCCTTGTTGACGTTCTTCTCACCAGCATGCACCTTGATCCGGATAGAACTGCCTGGCTGAATGTCATTGTCAAGACATTGATGAGACATGACTGGAAAGGAGCAGCCAGGCTGCTGATTCAGAGTGCATGGTGTGCAGCAGATGAGTCAAGATGTGCTGCTGTGGCTGTGCTGCTTACAGCTGGGTGTGGGACTCTTTGAATGGCTCGGTGTAGTCTTAAGCTAGCAAATTTCAAAGGCTTGCAATTTTGTATCTCGTTACCCCGTATAATTCTATTAATGGGAAAAAAGAGCAAGTTTCTGTCCTACGTTCCCGTTGTTTCGGTCCATCCCGTAAAGAGGCCTTCAGTTTTAGGAGCTGAGTCATGCCACCGCTCTCACCCACATATTCCTCCAAATGGCTCTCCATTTCATCCCCTTTCGTATCACATGTCCGACGTGTCTCCTCTCCATCGTTCGCCACGTCAGCGTCAAGCCTACGCGACCGCTCGCAGCGGTCGCGTCGAGGCGTCCTTGCCGTCGCAGGCTCTGTCCAGCCGATAGGACGCGTTCTCCAAGTAGCAGTGGTGTCACCTCAGGCCACTCAACAACGTCCGGTCATTCGAGGTCAATAGTAGCCTTATTCTCTCATCTAAGCGACAGTAGAAATTCCCGCGAAGTTCAGTCTCGTGAGAGTGAGAGGACACTCTCAAGAACACCCCGTGGTAATGGAAAGGCTCTATCTGAGCGTCCTGAGAAGATCCAGCAGAATGAGCGAGCCACGCAGCGGAGCCGTGACCTATCCGCCGTTGATTATTCAGCACATCAGCATGAAGAGAACGATCGGACGGTTCTAGATGAGCCGCGGGAATGGGTGGGTCTGGCAGCATGGAGAACCGCAGCGATCCGCACAGACACCTTCTGGGGACCCAAGGGCTCGTGCGATCCCCCAACCGCCTCTGACAGCTCCTGTGTTTCCCCGCGCGGCGCGGAAAACTCCGGGGACAGTGAGGCGTTTCAAGCCCGCGGCGGCGGCGTCGGCGCGGTGGCGTGGGATCAGATCGCGCTACCTGCCACGCTGGCGGAGTGCGGGCGAATGGTGCTCGAGTCGCCCGACCCGCGCGTCAAGATCGCCGTCACGCACGCCGCGCACCGCTTGCTCGCCGGCGGCGCGGCGACCACAAACGAGGCGGCTGCGGCCGGCAGCGCGGCGACAGCGGCGGCGGCGGTTGGCGTGGCGACTGCCCCTCCGCAACCCGCGCGGCCGGCGCGACCAGAGCTGGTAAGGGGAGGGGGAGGCGGGCGCGAGAGAGGGGGAGGGGGGAGGGGGGAGAGGGGGAGGAGGGAAACAGGGGAGAAATGGGGAGGGGTGGGGAAAGCGGGAGGGGAGAGAGAAGGCGAGTGCCCCTTCGAAACCCGCGCGGCCGGCGCGACCAGAGCTGGTAAGAAGGGGGAAGGCGGGAGCGAGAGAAAGGGAAGGGGGAGAGGCGGAGGAGGGAGAAGAGGGGAGAGGGGGGAAGGGGTGGGGGGGGGGAAGGGGGAGAGGGAGAGGGGAGAGAAAGCGAATGAGGGGCGGGGGGGTTGAGTGCGGGACGGGGAAGTAAGCATAGGAAATTGAGGACGTGCGACCCCAATCTTCCGCATTCCATTCCCCTCCCCCTCCACCACCCTTCTCCCATCACTTTCCCACCCTCCCCAACCCCGCCTTATCCCCTTCTCAACCCTTACCCACCCCTCCCCACCGCTCCCCACTCCTCTCCAGGTTCACCTGCGAGCAATGCCCTGCTCCTCCTCCCCTGCACCCTGGCTGGCACACATGCTTCACAATCTAGCCCACGTGGAATCGAACGCCTTGACCTGGCCCAACTTCCCCACCCCTTTTTCACCCCTCTTACCCCTTCCCACCGTTCCCCACCCCTCTCCAGGTTCACCCGCGGGCAATCCCGAAACCTGGCCCTTCCTCCTCCTTACCCTGGCCCGCACACATGCTGCACAACCTAGCCCACGTGGACTTATCCCCCTCCCAACCCACCCCTCTCCACCCTCCCCTCCCCTCGGCACCGCTACCCACCCCTCTCCAGCGCACATGCTGCACAATCTAACCCACGTGGAACCATCCCCTTTCCCACCCCCTTTACCCCCTCCCAACCGTTCCCCACCCCTCTCCAGGTTCACTCGCGTGCAATCCCCAAGCCCGGCCCCGCCTGCCCCTTACCCCGGCCTGCGCACATGCTGCACAATCTAGCCCACGTGGATCTATCTCCTTCCACACCCTTCCTCAACCCCTTCCACCCCACCCCACCGCTCCCCACCGCTCCCCACCACTCAACACGCTCCCTAATGATCCCCCCCAGGTGCACCCGCGGGCAATCCCCAAGCCCGGCCCCTCCTCCCCGCTACCCTGGCCTGCGCACATGCTGCACAATCTAGCCCACGTGGAACTGAACGCCATTGACCTGGCATGGGACACCGTTGTCAGATTCTCCGCTCTAGGGGCGGAGGGGGAGTGGGGGGTGGAAGTGGGGCGAGGGGAGTTGGAGCAGTGGGAGAGGGGGGACGAAGAGGGGGGACGAGCAGAGGGAGGAGGGGAGGAGGAGGGGAGAAAGGAGAGCTCGGAGCAATCGTGGAAGCTTCCACGTCAGTTCTTTTTGGACTTTGTACACGTGGCAGATGACGAGAGCAGACACCTGGCGTGGTGCTTGCAGCGACTGGAAGAGATGGGGTACAGGTGGGATGCGGTGCATGCAGGTGGGGTGCGGTGCAGGGGGGGTGCGGTGTAGGTGGGGTGCGGTGCTGGTGGGATGTGGGGCGCACATGGTGCAGGATGCATACAGCTAGTTGTTCGCCGCTCCTTGATGTCATGGCCTAACACCTCTCACATTGTTGTCACTGCCCCTACCCAACTCTTTCCATCTCTCCCCCAACTCATTTTCTCCCATCTCCCCCCAACTCCCCCCCCCTCCCCCCATCTCCCTCCCAACCCCCCCCCATTTACAGCTATGGTGACATGCCAGCTCACAACCTTCTCTGGAGGGACTGTGAGAAGTCGGCCAATCACGTGCAAGACAGGCTGGCAGTCATTCCCATGGTGCAGGTACCGCCGGCCAATCACGATGCACCTGGGGATTGTCAGGCAGCAGTCATTGGCTGGTAGATGGGCCACGTGGGATGGCTACGGCAGGGATGGGGAGAGGAGAGGGGAAAATGGAGGAGAGTGGGAGAGTTGGAAAGTAGGAGACGAGGAGAGGAAGTCGGAAGAGGAGGTCAAGACCCGAAACAGTGGTCCATTTGCAGTTTGATTTGGCTCAAAAATCTGTTCTTTCAATCTTCTAGAGAAATCCCTCATTGTGCTCCACCCCCTCCTCCTTTCACCCTCTGTCCATCCTCCTTGTATACATCCCAACAGGAGGCGAGGGGGTTGGACGCGGGGCCGCGGCTGGTGGAGAGGCTGGTGGGGCTGGGAGATACGAGGAGTGCAGCGGTGGTGGCCAAGATAGCACAGGAAGAGGTTGAAAGAGGAGGACTAAAAAAACAAGACGGGTTTTTTTTTCCATCCTCCTACCATCCATCCCTTCTGGCAGGAAGCGAGGGGGTTGGACGCGGGGCCACGGCTGGTGGAGAGGCTGGTGGGGTTGGGAGATAACAGGAGTGCAGCGGTGGTGGACAAGATAGCCCAGGAGGAGGTGGCACACGTTGCTGTTGGGGTGGCGTGGTTTGTCTGGGTGTGCGAGCGCATGGGCGTTGACCCACAGATGTCGTTTACTAGTGAGTTGGTGGGGGTGGTGGGTGGGATTTACACCTTGAAAGCGCAGGGTGGTGTGGTTTTTCTGGGTCTGCGAGCGCATGGGGGTTGATTAACCCACAGACGTCGTTTACTAGTGAGTTGGTGGGGGTGGTGGGTGGGATTTACACCTTGAAAGCGCAGGGTGGTGTGGTTTGTCTGGGTCTGCGAGCGCATGGGGGTTGATTAACCCACAGACGTCCTTCACAAGTGAGTGTGGGGACAGAGTTGCATACATCCATTACAGGTATTCTGAATTTCTCCCAGGGAGAAATGGCTTCAGGGTTTGACGCAGCCTCCCCGCATGCTCCCACCTCTCCGTTCCTTCCTTTCTCTGTGCAGGTGTGATTCGATCGCTGTGTGCTGATGGGGTGAAAGGGCCGTTCA